ATTATTATTATTTTTTTAATAACTTACTGGAATCCATGTTTCAGTCAGGTTCAAAAAATAATAATAAACCTAATCCCCCCTCTTTTTTTTTTTACCCGGGAGAAATGCAATATTTCGCTCTAACTTCCCCACCCGGTAGCAGGGAGAGTGTGGGAGGAAGTTGAAGCACATACCGACTAAAATTCCTAGGGGTGTTTCACCGTGTTCTTTTTGCAGGGGGGAGGGGCGTTCGCGAGAGTAAGCCTGCATTTCAGCCTCAGCCTCCTCCTGAGTTAGGTTCACACTTGCGATGATGGGTATCCCACCTGAGGAAGATTCCGGTACTTCCCCTTTATACCCTACGAGAGGCAGCTCCGACCTGACACCATCTTACCTGCCTCTTCAGCAGAGTTTGTGAATTTTCGAAGGGAGAGAGAGATGGCCTCCTTTCAGGTCGCAGCTCCGCATTTACCCCTTTTTTGATCAAGCACCCAGTTTCACCTCCTCGAACAAGGTTCGGTTCATTCCCAATGCCACAAAAGGGTGCTAGGTCACTTATCCCCTCTATGTAGGTACAGGTTTGTTTTTGTTAAGACAAATTAAAGTTGAACTCTTAACTCGGGACCGATTTTTCCCCTATTTGAACACTATCTGGCTACCTCGGGCTCCCCTAAGGCATCTGTAAGTTTAAGATTTACCCCTAGCGGATGCCTAGTCAACGTGGGAGATTGAATCCCAGTGCCCCCTCACCTTAAACATCCTCTTTACCCAGGTCTCCGAGTAGTTGGGATTACAGGAGTACACCACCACTTCCGTCTTACAAAAAAAAAAAAAAAAAAAAGAAAAAAACGAATCTTACCCTTCTTTTACTTTTAATATTTTCTAATTGTCTTTGAGTGCATTCTCCGATGCTTTGACTACCCCAAAGTTCCAAACCGACTTTGGTATACGTAAAAGTCATGGAACCGATGGGTAAAACGTATGTGAGTAACATGAATATTACGTTGTACCTGAAACGATGAAAAAAAAAAAAAAATTAATTAATTAATTAATAATGGCGGATTCTGTCGTTTTTTTTAAAAATCTATGGCGGGAAAATTTTTTCTTTTTTTTTTTTTTTTTTTAACACAAATTAAAAAAAAGGAAAAAATACGCAATATCCGGTTTCGTTTTAATTTTAAACGGTTTCCCTCTGCGTGTGCGTGTGCGTGCGTGTGCGTGCGTGTGTGAAATTTTGTATAAAGTCAAAAAAAAAAAAGGGTAATAAATGGAAATTATTATAATTATTTCTTTATCGCGTTTTCTTCCGGGGGACGGGGGACGGGGGGTAAATCGTCATAATAATAATAATGATGATGATAATAATAATAATAAACTTTTTTTTCGGTCTTTTTTTTTTATTACGACGATTTATATTGTAATAAAATTTTTATTCGAGTATAAGGAAACGTCAAAATCTCTTTCTCTCTCTCTCTCGTGCGACGATTTTATCATCTATCTCTTTTACTTTTTGATTTTTATTTCACGATTGTTTTTTTCCTCTTTCTCATTCCCTCTCTCTTTTTCTTTTCTTTTCTTTATGCGACCATGATGAAAATTTTAAATTTCTTACATTTAAAAAATTTTTTCATTTATTATTATTATTATTATTATTATTATTACTACCCTTTTACCGGATATTGTTTATACCTTTTGTTTACGTTTTTTTTTATTGTTTGTTTTTGTTTTGTTAAAAAACAATTATTATTATTATTATTACTATTTCGTTTGATGAATGAAACGAACGGAAAGGGAAAAGGAAGTGATGAGATTGTTACGGATAAAATCGTTATGACGTTTCTTTAATAAAAAAATAATTATGATTAATAATAACAATAATAATGATTGGGATGATTATTATTATTATTGTAATTTTCTTAGAAAATTTTGTTTTTCCAAAAAAAAAAAAAAAAAAAAAAAAAAAAACTTTTACAATTTTATATTTTTAATTAACGGAAAACATAATGAAAAAAAAAAAAAAATTTAAATTTGTTCTAAAGTCGCTTAACAAATGAAAAATGATGATGATGATGATAATAATAACGATAATAATAACGATAAGAATTGTAAAATTTGTATTCGGGTAAATTATTTTAATTAAAAAAATTTTCTTTTTTTTTTTTTTTTTTTTTGTTTCGTACAATGGAAAAAAATAAATGTTTTGAAATGAATTTGAAAACCTTAGAAGAAGAAAAAAGATTTTTTTTTGAGAGGGCGGTGAAGAGGGCGGATTTGGTTTTTTTTTTTTTTTTGAAAAACAAAAAGAAAAGTCAAGTTGGAAAATTTATTTACGACGTACGACGTTAACTTTTGACGTGTTAAATATGAATAAAAAAAATATGTTTGTTTTTATAATCGATGACGTTTTTTTTGAGGGGGGAGGGAGGGGAGACTTTTGTTGTTTAACCAATTTAAAAAAAAAAAAAAAAAGAAAACGAGGTTATGGAAAATTTTTAATAAATAATTATTTAAATTTAAAATTTTCGGTTTTTCGTTTTATTTTTAAATAATTTTTATTAAAAGTTTTTTAGCAAAAAAAAAAAAAAGGAAGTAAAAGTTGTTAGTTAAACCGGAAGTGGTGGTGTACTCCTGTAATCCAACTACTCGGAGGCCTGGGTAAAGGGGATGTTTTAGGGGATTGAATCTCCCACGTTGACTTGGCGTCCGCTGGGGGTAAATCGGAAACATGAATGCCTTGGGGGAGTCCGAAGTAGCCAGGTTGAGCCCAAATAGAGAAAATGTTCAAATCTTAAGAGTGAGAGTGGGAGTTACATTTCAACTTGTCCAAACAAGACCAGACCTGTACCTTAGTAAGGGGATAAGTGACCTATCATCCATTTGGGGCATTGGGAATGAACCAACTCTTGTTCGGGGGGTTGAAACTGAGTACTTGATTTAAATAGAATAAATGTAGGGCTGTGATGTGAAAGAAAAACAGATGATAGATGAATGGGATTCCCGACCACAGATATCTCTCTCTCTCTGTCTTTCTGGGAACTTGCAGACTTTTCGGAAGAGGCTGTAATGATAATAACAGATCGAAATCGTCTCACGGAGGATAAAAGGGGAAGTACCGGGATCTTCCTCGGGTGGGAACCTAATAATTCTGCCTCACGAGGGGGTTGAGGCTGAAATGCAGGTTGCACTCCCGCATACGCCTTCCTCCGGGAAAGAGCACGGCGATACACGCCCTGGAATTTTAGTTGGGTAGTGACTTCCGGTTGAGTCCCCCACACTCTCCCTGCTACTGGGTGAGGAGGTTAGTGCGAAATGCATTTCTCCTTGGTTAACCAAAAAAAAAAAATTAAAAATAGTCAGTTGGGATTTAAATCGAGTTATCGAATTAAAATTTCCAGAAAACCAGCAATAAAGACCAAAAACTAAACGTTAGCCATTTGCGCCATTTTTTTGTTGTTGTTGTTTGTTGCTGGAAAAATTCCATTTCGAAATTTAAAAAAAAAAAAAAAATTAATACTAAAATTTCATTGTTGCAGGTCATCATGAGATCAAAAACCAACGTGGGATTTTATATAATGAACCCTTGAAAAATTTTCGATAGAGAAACGGAAACCGCTCGCCGAAAGATATATATTTATATAAAATTACGTAAAACTATCGGATAAAATCGAAGAAAAAAAAAAGAAAAAAAAAGGAAAAAAAGGAAAGAAAAAGGAAAAAACAAATTTCAAAAGTTATTTTATTACGAACTAAGGAAAAACGAAGGAATAAGGTGAGTGAGTCTCTCTCTTTTTTTTTTTTTTTTTTTTTTTAAATTATCCTTTTACAAAAGGTTTTAAGGTTTACGAGTTTTCATTTTTTTTTTTTTTGTTTTCTCTTTCAAACCCCTTTCCCCGTCATCCCCATTTCCCTCCCTTCTTACCTACGGGATCTCCTCCGGTAAAACTTTCATTTCTTAAGTGAAAGAAAATAGATTGTAATGAAATATGCATGAAAGGTTTTAGATATATATATATATGTATCGAATCGAAATATTTTTTTTTTTTTATTACCGTGAAAATGAAAAGGTTATTATTATTATTATTACTACTTTTTTTTCGAGGGTTAAGTAATAGAAAAATAAACAAACAAACAAACAAATAGACGAACAAACAAACAAACGCCGGGTAAAACGGGGAGGGGAAAAAAAAAAATTTCATAATTATTTTTTAAATTTCCCGCGTGATTCGTGCGTTTAGAAATCGTGTCATTAGATATAAAATAAAATACTCGAATTTGGAGATTAAATTGGGGAAATTTATAAAGAAAAGTTAAAATTAAAAAAAAAAAAAAAAGAAAAAGAAAATTTTTTTCCCCCCCTTTGTAAAAGCCCGAAATAATTTTTTATTTTTTTTTTATTTTTATTTTTGGTAAATTAACCTTTTTGATTCATCCTTTTTTTTCCTTTTTTTCCTTTTTTTTCTTCCTTTTTTTTTTTCGTTCTTAAAATGAAGATGATCTCGAAACGTCAGAAATCAAGAGGTTAAAGTTTATAAAACCGAAAAAAAAAAACAAAAAAAAAAGAAAAAGAAAAAAAAAAGTTTTCATTTTGACTAGAGTAGTTGTTTACTTTTTGACTAGCGTAGTTGTTTTCATTTTGACTAGAGTAGTTGTTTACTTTTTGACTAGCGTAGTTGTTTTCATTTTGACTCGCGTAGTTGTTTTCTTACGTCATATTATTCCTATTATATATATATATATATATATATATATATATATATATATATATGAATTCAATACGGGGGGAAAAAAAGTATTATTTTTATTATTATTATTTTTGTTGTTGTTTACGGATTGTTTTATTATTATTATTATTATTATTATTATTTTTGATACACATCAGAAAAGGATACGAAATTTAATTTTGTCGTACGCGATAGAAAGAAAGAAAGAAAAAAAGAAAAATTTTTTTTATTATTTTTTCTCAATTCCTTCCATTAGGATAATAAAAAAAAAATTTATTAAATAAAAACGTATTAAATTTTTTATTTTTATTTATTGGCATTTCAATAACTAATAAATAACTTTTTTTTTTTTTTTCTTCTGCTTCGTACATATATATACATACGAAAAAAATTCGAATGAAATCAAATAATTTTCCGGAAAGGGTTCGTTCGGGTTGTGGGAAAATTTTCGAAAAAAAAAACAAACTCGTATATATTTATTTATTATATATGTAAAAAGTTTATTTATTATCTTTAAAATGGGATGCCGAAACGTCGGGATTTTTTTTTTTTTTTCTGGAGAATGCTCTGGAAGGGGATGAGAGGGAGGGAAAAGGGAGAGAGAAAGTATGAGAAAGGTTGGAGGGATCATGGAAAAAATTTTATCCGAAATTAAAATAAAGTAAAAAAACTTTTCGCGGTTTTTATTATTCCCGCAAAATAACTCACGTAAAATTATTATTATTATTATTATTATCAATATTTTATTATTTATTTATTTATTATTATTATCATTACTATTATTTTTTATAAAATTTCTTATTCGTTCGTTTGTTTGTTTGTTTGTTTGTTATTTTTTTCTTATTTGTTTTTGATATCCAAGTTAAAATTTTTTGTTTGCTCATAAAAAAAAAAAAAAAAAAAAAAAAAAAAAAAAAAGAAAAGTCGAATTGAAAAATTGATATTGTTTGTTTGTAATACAAAACCGGAAATCACATATTGCCGGAAACGTCATTTTTTCATTTTTTTGACATATTTGAACTTTTTTTCTTTTCTTTTTTTTTTTTTTTTTTTTGAATAAGAAAAAATAAAAAAAAACGTCAAATTATTTGCGATGCGATTGTCGAATTTTATTGGGTGAGGGGTGAGGTAGGGTGTAATGGCGGAAGGGGGGGGAAATTCAACAAGTTGAAAAAAAAAATCCGCCTTTATTTTATTTAATTCTTTCTCCCCCCCCCAAAAAAAAAAAATTTTTGATTTATGCGTTTGTTCTCTGATAATGGATTAATTTTGATAAGAGTTCATCGAACTTTCTTTTTTTTCCGCTTATTTTCTCTTTCCGGAATGTCGGAAAATTTTTTCTTTTATTTTTCCCTTCCCATTTCGGTTAGAAAATATATAACGAAAATTAGTATTGGGAAAAAATGAGGGGGTGGCAGGAGCGGAAAAAGGTTTAAAGGTTTTAAGGAATTATTTTAATTTGTTTTTTATCCGCTAATTCACCTCCCCACCCCCACCCCCCATTTTTTTTTTTGAATTTAAGAGTTTACAATTAAATTTAGTTAATAAATTTTTTTTTTTTTTTTTACGGAGATGGGGGGAAAGGTTTAATTTAATTTTTTCATTCGAAATGTAATAAAAAAAACAGAAAAAGGTAAACGGGAAAAAAACAAGAGAGAGAAAGAGGAGGGAAAAAAGAAAAGGAACGATACGAAAACCGGAAATGTAGTTCGATGCCGGTCAAAATCGAATTTAAAAAAATATAATTTAGAGGTTTGCTATTGAGATCTTCCTCCCCTTCCTTTTCCCTTTTTCCTTTTCTCTTTTCCCTCTTCTTCCCTCCCCTCAAGAAGAAAAACACGAAATTTAACTTACCAATATTCTTGTATGCTTTCGTTTGTCGGTCCATCCGGCCAAACCATGTAACAAACTCTTCGCTCGTGACCCTGTTCGAATTTAACAACTTCCAACGTGTAAAAAATAAGATTTGGAATCGATAGAAATATGCCGACGATCCATATTCCGGCCGCTATTCCCAACGTCATTTTACGACCCATTCTCGGCCTTAAAGGATTCATTATCGCCATGTACCTGACATTGATGACAAAAAATAATAATTATAATTCTCACCTTTACAAAGAAAAAAAACATTTAAATAATGATAATAATAATTAAGAAGGCGGGAAGGAATAGAGGGGGGAAAACCGTCTGGAAAAAGTTTAACATGTCGGGGGGGAGGGAGAGAGAGAGAGGAAAGGAAGGAATGAAAATTTTCAACAGTCGATTCGCGACACACATTTTCCCAATCAAAAAAAGGTTTTTTTTCCTTTTTTTGTTTGAAAATAATTCGTAGGGAAATTTGTCGCAATAAAAAAAAATAAAAGTCGTAGTGAATTCCGTCGGAAAATTACAAAAATAATAATAATAATAATAAACTCGCGATAATCGTAAATTTTTTTTTTTTTTTTATATATAAAAAGGCGAGGAAAATTTTATTTTCCCTCGCGTAAGTGGGGGCGGGGGTGGGGAAATCTTTCGTCGTAATTATTGTACTAAGAAAACGATGACGTAATATGAAACGCATTTTCGTGAAATTTAATATATATATACGTAAACATTAATAATAATAATAGTGATAATAATGAAGGCAAATAAGAAAATGTGTAAAATTTCACAAAGGTAAAAGACAATTAATTAATTAATTAATTAATTTTTTTCCTTTGATTAGGTGTAAACAAATCCTTCGTCTCTTAACAATCACAACAATCACAACAACAACAACAACCGCATGTCATTATAAATAAAAACAAACAAAATTGTTTAGCGCATCTCTGATTTACAAGGTAAGTTTATTTTCTATTCCATGTCGAAAAAAAAAAAAAGGAAAAATGGCGGGAAATAATAATAATAATAATGAATTAATTTCGAAAAAACATTTTTTATTATAACTTTGTCGTTTGTTGATCTCGACAAGGTAACAACTTGAAATATTTTGTTAGGGTTTGTACGTGAGAGCGTTTGTATATACATATAAAAACATGACTAAATTGAAATCTTTCGAGATTATTTAAATTATTTATTTATTTATTTATTTTATTTTATAAAAAAAAAAAAAAACTTGTTATCCGTTTTCTTTCAAATCGGGTTTTTATTTAATCGTTTGTTTATTTATTTATTTATTTATTTTTCATAAACAAACAATAATGAATAAATAAAAAAAAAAAAAAATTATTTATTTACTTAGTACGTACTTAATAATGAAATCGCGTCGACCGGATTTATTTTTTAAATTAATTTTGAAGTTAATAAATTATTAAAAAAATTCAAACCGGATATGGTTGAATTTTTTTTTTTTTTTGTAGCCTCCATCATTATCATTATTATTATTATTATTATTATTATTACAATTTCACGTTTTTTTTTTTTAATATTCGAATTTGAAAGGGTTTTAATAAAAAAACAAATTTATTTATTTATTTATTTTTTATTTATTTTTTAATATAATAAAGTTGGATTTTAATTTTTGGGTTTTTTCCCTAGTTTTATTAATAATTTGTTCGTTTGTTTGTTTGTAGGGACGTTTTTTTTTTTTTTTTTTTTTTTTTTAAATTTATATAAATAAAAAATAAAATTATTATTATTCGTTTATTTTTTTCGTCGTTTGTTTTGTCAAATATTATTAATTATAGTGTCGAGAGAGAGAGAGAGAGAGAAAAAATTTTTATTAATAAAACAATCCGTTTGTTTGTTTATTTAAAAACAAATTTCTCAAAGGGTTATTAATCTATTTTGAAATTCAATACAAACGCAAAATTATATGTTTAATTAAAAACAAACAAACAAACAAAAATTTGCGGGGGCATGAATGGGTAATAACGATTTGTTTTGAATATTTTAAATGAGTTGCTAAGGAACGTAAAAAATTGTTTTGATTTGGTAGAATTGAAAAATTTTAATTTTTTTTTAAAATGTTGTCAACCCTGATTCGTTTCGTATCCGTTCGGAGGGGGGGGGGAATAAAAATTATTATTAATTTAAAAAATTAATTTTTTTATTTAAATTTTCATTTCAGATGATTCGGTTAAAAATTGTTTTTATTTTTATTTTTTTTAACCGGAAACGGGTTTCATTTTTATACAATCAACAAGAAAAACAGGAAATACATTTCAAAATTTTTTAAAGAGAAAAAAATGAACGGAAACGAAGAGAAAGGGAGAAAGGAAATTCTTGTCGCGTTTCCACGTTCGTCACGTTCATAATTCCAGTAGGTAAGTTACGTTCAAACTTTTTAAATAAAAAATTTATTTCTCAAAGTGATATAAAATCAAAGAAGGGGGAGGAGGAGGATGAGGGTGGAGGGAGGGGGAAAAAACGTGACGGATTCTTAAATCTTTCGTGTCACGAAGACCGACCAATTATTTTTCTCTCGATTTAAAAAAAAAAAAATTTTTTTCTGTTTTTTTTTTGGAGGGGGGGGGGGAAAGCGGAGGAGGAAAAGTTGGAAAAATTTCTTTCGATTTTTTTATTTATTTATTTATTTTTTTTTTTACGTCGGATGTTATTATTATTATTATTACCATCATGAAAATCGTTGATCGTTTGAAAATTTTCGGTAAAAACCCAACAAAATAATGTTCTATTGACACGAATAAAATAAATTTTCCAAGTATTTACGTTATTGTCACGAACCCAATTGCAAAAATAAACATTTTTTGCGGCGGTTCGTTTCGTTTCGTTTCTTCTTAAACCGCCGCAGCACACACACACACACACACACAGAAAAAAACGTGTCAATATGGATTTTATTGACACGAAACGACAGGGAAAACAAAAACAAAAAAAAAAAAATATTTTTTTGCCCTTGTTTTATTTATTTATTTATTTATTTATTTACACAATCAAAAATAGTTACGAAATGAAAAAATTTTGAATCCCGAATCAAATCGGTGTTGACTAAAAATAAAACAAAAATTTTTTTTGTTGTGGTTGTTGTTGTTATTTAAATCGTTGAAACAAACAACAATCGGGGTCGAAGTAAAAAAAAAAAATTATATATATATATATATATATGTATTTTTTTTTTCGTTGCTTCCACGAATAAAAATCGGTCGGTCATTAGTCGAAGCAGATGGGACAAGTGACACGTCACGTTTAAATCAATTTTTCCTCCTCCTTCGTGGCTAAAGAATATTTTTATTTATTTATTTATTTTTTCTTTTCCCTTTTTGAATACTGCTTATTACCCCGAATGATTTTATGACGTCATTGACATTTATTTATTTTTTTTTAAACGTATAAAATGTTTGTTGTTGTTGTTGTTGTTGTCGTCGTCGTCGTCACTCTCACGTTCTT